CCAAAAAYAGCAGAGCCCTAAGACAAGGATTAAATCAGTGTGGCTGCAGCAGAGAGCCYGGGCTGAACCCTCCCATCAGCTGGATCACCCCTTCTCCCAGGGGAACAGATCCCCTTGGACCTGCTGGGCACTTTGGGTCACACCCAGCTCCAAATGGACACATCCACCACATCCCCRTGGCTGCAGCTTCCAGACCTGGGCACTGAGCAGGATCACAATGACTCTGTAATTTCATAGGTGGTGGAGTTGGGAGGGAGCTGCCAACCCCTGGGCAGGCAAAGGAAACTCTGCAATGAAGGATCTGGAGTGTCAGGACACGGGGAATGGCYTCCCACTGCCAGAGRACARGKTTAGGTGGGATTTTAGGAAGAAATTCYWSMCTGTGAGGGTGGTGAGGCCMTGGCACAGAAGCTGTGGCTGCYCCTGGATCCCTGGAAGTGTTCAAGGCCAGGTTGGACAGGGCTTGGARCAATCTGGGATAGTGGAAGTTGTCCCTGCCCATGGTATAGGGTGGAATTTCAAGGTCCCTTCCAACCCAAACCATTCCATGRTTCCACAAAGCTGTAAATCCCATAAAATCCCACTCAAGCAGGCTGGCACTGCCCCATAGGTGCCACCTGGAATCAGTGGCACTGGTGCCAAATTTCAGAAATGTGATGCTCKAAATACCAGAGGGGTGACCAGCAGAGCTCCCAGGTAAGGGAGGGGACATGGCCTGAGCTGGGTCACTTCCACCTCAACCCCCACCCCAAAGAGCTCACCCCAGGTTGCACCTTCTGCTCCAGCCACCTCTGGCCTCACTCCCATGGATGCTGCAGCATCCAAYCATRGAAAACTTACCCAAAAAASCACCCTGAGTCACCAATCTGGGAGKAGATCTGATCCCAGCCATCCCCAAAGCCTCTCCTGCATCGAAATCAATATCCCATATGTAGAATTTGACAGGAGGATTTCCTGCAGCCTCCATCACATCACAAACCCCTCACTGAGCTCCAGGTTTGCCCCCTGTGCTGAGGAGCACCAGCAAAACTGAGATCAGGAGGGAGAGGCTTTAACTGCAAGCTGTTTTCCCCAATTCCTTGCATTTTTTCCCCATTCTGAGGCTGAACTGCTTTCCCAGCAGCAGGAATTTGTCACATGAACGAGGTGCAGACTCTCTGAGGAAGCAGAGCTGCAGATGGGGAGCAGAAGGCAGCACCTCCCCCAGGACAGGCTCGTCCATATTTAATGTGACATCAGAGCAGAGCCAAGCTCACCAAGCGTTTTGTACAAGCGAGAGGAAGACACAGCCAAGGAMGTGTGGAAGGAAAACAGCCAGAAGCCAAAGAGCAAAGTGCTAATTTGTGATTCGAAAGCTCCTACTGCAACAACTCCCTCCCCTCTGCTCTTCCCACAACATTGATGGTTTGCTCTTGGCAAGCAGCTCTGCAGCCAGCAGTGGAACGGCCAGGGTCTGGTACTTCAGTGCCTTAATTAGATAGGAAAACAATTAAAGAGGATAATTCTCTGCTAACATCCACAGGCCTCAGCACAAACAGCAAACRGCCCAACCCCACCCCATTGTGTCTATTTAGGGTTTTTTGGAAGATTGGCAGATGAAAGGACTGGAAAAGGGGCCATAAARGAGATTTCTGAGAGATGGGGAGGTGCAGCTGTTGGACATGATGGATCCTTCATCATTGCTTATCCTGGCAAAGGGAGCAGCCACTGCCACACACAGGCTCAGGTTCCCCAGAGAAAAATTCCCAATCAGCACTCGGGCAGCGTTTCCACAGTGAAAATTCCAGAATGGGCTGGGGAAGCRGAGAGCTGGGTCAGGAGGTGACAGAAAACATTTTGCACTGAGGGTTTGGGGGAACAGACACAGCAGAGGTGCTCGAGCCACCCCAGGTTGTGCCCATGAACCTTCTGGGCAGGTAAAAACCCACAAAGGGCAGATGCAGAATGCAACAAACAATAAAAATTCTGAAAAGGAGTGACATGAACATGTCAGTGATGTGTAGATGCCTGGTGGGACACACTGGAAACAGGAGATGCTTTTGGTGATGTGACATTTCAGGTTCCTTTCTTGTYGCTGAGAACTCCACAAAAAAACCCCAAATCAACTCCTTCCTTTTCACCTCCAAACATTCTCCAGCTCTATCCAGCTCTGGCCAACTTCTGTTCCTCCAAAAAGCATCCACAGAGCAGAGTCCAGCAGCAGCTCCTAAAGCAGCCAAACACGAGCAGAAGTTTGCAAAGTCTCAGTCTCTGGGTGCAGCTGGGGATGGAGAATTTTGSGGAAGAACCTGAAACTGCACAGAAATGTGACCACCTGCCCTGTTCCTTTCCAGAGCATCCCAGTCCCGTGGATCATCATGGAGCTCGTGCTGTGTCTCACATTCCTCAGGCTCATCTTGGACCACTCCACCAGCAGCAGCTCTGAGCCAATCCAGCTGAATTCCTTCACTCCATCCCCATCTTTTTGCAGCACTGATGCMCATCCGAGCAGAGCCTGGCATTTAYTGACGCCTTCAAATGTTGAYGCCAGAGGGTTTGGGGTTGTTGGAGTTGTCAGATTCACTCCCTAAGCCATCCAGAAAGCGCTGCACTGTTTTTTCAGCAAGTCCCACCAACTTCCCTTCATTTACATGGACCAACACATCCATCTCCACACCCAGCACGGCAAGAACATCTTCAAAAGCAACAAAATGAGTCTCAGACCAACAACACCAGTCAGGTACAAATCCAATTTTAATTGTCAAGCTCACTTCTAGCTCCTACATTCAACGCGAGGATCAAAAACAAGTTYGAGAGTAGAATTTTATTCTATCCCCGGTTTCTGATCGTTTTGGCAGCTGTCAAAGGGCAACTCCCAAAATCCACTCGTCCCAGAATTTTTTCCCTACCTCGCAGTGCCAGGTGAACCCCACGGACTCTCCCAACATCTCTCGACACCTTTCAGACTCAGTTCTTTGGCAACAGTTATACAGAGCATTGTGCGTATATAAAGAGCTTATAATAAAACTTCTTTTACATTCTAATTGTCTTTAAACCTTCACAGAAGTATTAAAGTGCTCAATCAACTCCCAACAAACCCTCCTTCCCTAGTCAGCTACTTCCTGGAAACGCCTGCACTTAAGTCAGCAAAACCAGAAGCAAACAAGAAGAGAAAAGGCATGGAAAAATAAAATCAATCCTCTGCAGGATCACGAAAACCCCTTATTGAGACAAAGAGGCCTGGAGTCTCACATCTCTCTTCTACCCAAATATTGGGACACAGGTCCAAATGTTCAACCAGTCCAAGCCAGCACAGCTTTTTTCCCCTTCCCAAGTTGTGCTGATTTCCCATCAGTTGATCCTTTGGCCCCTGACTTCTGTAAAAACAAAAACCCCAGAACAGAATCCTACTGATGCTACAAAGAAAATACAAATGCTGAAGTCACACCGGTAAAGGAAAATAAAAATGAAAACAAACAAAAGTTGTGGTGGATGTTTAACCCTCCCTGCTGCTTGCATTTTACATTCTCTCTGCAACATTTGACGCTACCTGAAATGGATGCTTTCAAAAAGGCTTTAAATGGGGACTTTTTGGTCCTTCCAAGCTTTCAAAAAGGCTTTAAATGGGGACTTTTTGATCCTTCCAAGTGGGAGATGGAACGCTCATCTCAAAACAGTTTCCTCTGGCAGGACCTGCAGCCCAACCCACTGTGGCTCTGAGGAAATCCCACCCAGAGCCTCAAAGAGACCAAAACCACATTCCCTCAGGCACATTTTCTCCTTCCTCCAGCCACAGCACCCAAAACTGACTCAAACCACCCCAAAAAGGTGACTTTTTCCTGCGGAGACACCAGGAATTCACCCGCGGGACACGCGTGGGTTACGGCTTCACTCAGCCAGAGGATGACACCTCTGATGGCAGCTTTGCTTCAATCTTCTGACATCTGTGGGAAAAACATCTTATTTCAGCCTCAGCACTCCCTGGCTTCCAGCAGGTCCTGAACTGTTGGCTGTCACCTGCCCTTTTGCTGTTGACTGAAGATCAGACTGAGCTCTGCCACCTCGGAGATCCTGTTTGCCCGTCTCTACACGCAGCCCTTGGAAACAGCTCAGAGTGATCTCAGCCCAAAAATGACTCAAAAGCCAGGGAATCGTCAGAAAGTGGTCACAAACCACACACAGGTTTGTACCTGCTCTTAGCAGACGTGGCAGGAGCTACCCCTGCTGCCCCCAAAGGCTGCTGAGAGCCAAATTCTGCAYGGGGGTGGTCACCCTGACCCTGAGACTGCTCAGATTATGTTGGTGCCACGTCAAGGTCATGTTTTCACTATCACATGACACTGTTTTGCTTGCTAAGCCGAGGGCTTTCCCCTACAATTCCCTCGGGGATATACAAACYGTGGATTTTATAAACTGTCCCTGTTCTCCTCCCTCAAATCTCAACACAAAGGGCTTCGTCAGAAAATGAAAAAATCAGTTCTGCACACGTGTTTGGGCGCTGCAGGCAGCTCCATGAGGATCAAAATCCTTCTGATCTTTAGTGCAAATACACCAAATGTGCAGTGATTTGAGCCTGGCTTAGCTCAGCACAGAACTTTGCACCCAAAGCCTTCCTCCTCCCTTGGGACTGGTCTCCCTCACCATGCAGAGAAATCTCTGCACCATTTACCGGGTAAAAAATACTTCCCCGTGCTGATAAATTTGTAATTCATTTTACATTCCTCTTCTCCCCTCATTTCTACTCTTTTGAAAGTTCATCATCGAGGTCCACAATTTTCTGAACGCTTTTTTACCCGCGACCTGTGATGTGCAGCAAGGGCCAAGCACTGAAACTAAAGGGCAGCTCGTTTCACAGTACTCCAAATTAAAAAACTGACCATAGTACAAGCAAAATTAAATAAACTGAAATAGAAAAGACAGCAGAAGTGAAGATTCATCCAGMAATATAATATAACATCTGGGGGCGGGGAGAAAACCAGAAATCAGCTACACAACAGAAACAATGAAATGACCAACAAATATCGATCAGGCAAAAAGAGGAAAACTTTCATTGCATTCTGTACATCAAAATTAAATGAAAAATTCACACGTTGGAGCATCGAGACAGGATGATGAGGGTGTCAAGCCACAGGAAGAAGAAAGCAAAGGAACACTTTGAACAAAGCAACACATGAACAAAACCAGTAACTGAGCAGCTTCCAAAAGAAAAAAAATAAAAAAAAAGTGACCATATCTCAAATGAGAAAAAGCAGCACTGAAGCAGAAAACAGGTGTATGGTCAGGACATGGTGGGTAACACTGACTGCACAGAACACTTTTGATATTTGGAAAGAACCAGGCCTATTTGTATATCTATGCAAAATATATACACAAATCCATATGTATATATGTACACATAGGCACTACTGTACATATGTATATGCAACCATTGACACAACTGCCCTCTGACTCTGGGGGCAGAGCAAAAAATGCTGCAGTTGTGCAAAAAAAAAACTACAATTCTGTGTTTGATGACCCGGGAGAAATATCCAAACAAATTCCCAAACAGCTCAGCCCCAGATGGGGTTTGATCCACAGGGCTGTGCAAGCCCAGCCTCTGAATGTTCCCAGCTCATTTGTAGGAATTAAATATTCATCCAAAGCTGTGGATTGTAGCAGTGCACATTGCAACTGTTTCCAAACCCACTAATCTAAAAAAACAGCCACAATCTCTCCTGACATCAGTGGTTCAGCACCAGGCCATCCCACCTCAGCAATTTGGGAATATTGGGTGCACAGGGAATTGGATTCAAAGGCCAGGACAGGGCTGTCACTCTATAAAACAAGGGTCAGTCGTTGTTCTTAGTGTTGGGGAAGAAAAGGATGTGGTGCATTGAAAAAAGCCCCCCCACCCTCAAACAAGGGAACACAGGACAACTGTGGATGCTCCAACCGTACAGCCAGGCTGATCTTTGGGGTTTCAGGGGTTGGGGATGTGGGAAGTTGCATTTCCCATAAAGCTCATTYGCCTCTCAGCTCCAGAGAGCACCGTCCTCCCAAGTCCAAGGCTCCCTTGGGCTGGCACAGGCACTGCAGCCCCGTGACAGGAGTGCATTGCCAACGTCAGAGCACGAAGAAAGTGGTGAAAGAAAGAACTGCAGGAGATTGTCCCACGCCTTTTCCAGCTCCGAGGGAGGGGTCTGTGCTGCTCTGCACACCAGGGACCCTTCAGTACTCTGCATCCATGGCATCCAAGTACTTGGCTTCGATGATCTTGGGGAGCAGGTTATACCTAAGCAGAAGCAGAGACAGGAGTCAGGTTTGTTGGATCATTTTTGTTTTTCTGTCCCAAGGTGAGTTTGTTTGTGATGTTCACCTGGCTGAGTGCGACAGCAAAACCAACCCATCCTGCAAGGAAACACAGCATTCATAGGAACAACAGTGCCAAACTTCCTTTCAGCTGGAAAGGAAAAAGAACATCTTCATCCTCACAGGAGGAACATCACTTTCCTGGAGCTCTGTCACCACCAAGTCCTCAGGGRGACAAAAATGAAGAGCCACAACTCCAAGCCAGACTCCATCCTTACCCTACCTGGTGTCTGGATTCCCAACATGGAGACAGTGATTCCCTCACTTTAAAAAAATCTTTTTGTTTTTTTTTTTCAAAAACATCCTCACAAATTAATATATTTAGGTGAGAAAGGTGCTATGAAGTTGCTCTCATTAAATCCCAGTGCATATTTAGCATGGCATTCTCCCTTGTTTAATAAGGAACTCAGCCATTGTTCAGCTGCTCAAAATAAGTCAAAAAACACAAAAAAATCCATTTCATTCTTCAGGTGTTAAAAATAAGTCATAAAGCACCAAAAAATCCATTTCAGATTTCAACAGCTGTGCAAGAGATCCCAAAYATCACTCACTACTGAGGAGTACCAGGATCTCCCTAAATAGACCCATCCTAGAATAAAATGCTTGAGAGCCATGGGAGCCCAGAGAAGTGACATTTGGAGAGAATATTCTTCTCTGAGCCACCAAAACCTCGTCATCCCAAAAATCTGAATCCAAGYCAGGAACTGGGAATACCCAAAGAGATCAGATTTTCTTGCACCAGGCTGTTTTCCACTGCAATCATGGGTTTCAGTGGCTTCTCAGTATCTATCTGACACCACACCAGTGATCCCTCACTAAGGACAACACAAATCATGTTTTTAAATCTGYTGGATGGATGGAAATGTGGCTTTGGGATGTGGCTGGTGTTCTGGATGGGACACCAAGCCATGGCTCACTCATTTGTTTCATTCTTGATTTTGTCCCCTGGCTCCTGTCCCATCTTTTCCTCCCTTCACATCTTWAAAAAAAATAAAAATAAAACATATTCAATTTCTTCTAGTGTCTCATCTAGTCAGAGTGCCAAATCTTTGGGAGAAAGTCATAAACTTCAGAGCTCATGGATCACGGTRCTGCCTTCTTGGCTGGAGGCCACAGAAACTGCATGAAGGCAAAAGAAACCAGAGGAAGGAAAGCCAAGGAAGAATTTCTGTGCTGTGCCAGGCAGCAGCATCKTCCCCTTGGCAGCAGGGCTGATTTTCCAGCTGCTGGGAAAAAACTGCCCTGGAAAGAGAAATGAGTTAGCAACAGAGAGTATAAGGTGACAGCATCTTATTCACTGAAAAGAACTTTTTTTTTGCTTATTATTACCTAGCTCTTAGTACAAAATCTTTTTTTTTACTGCATTCTCTCCATGCTAATTTAGTTTTTTATSCCATGCCCAATATTTGGATTTGGCTGAGCGTGTCCCACGTTCTGCTCTGCACTGAGCTGCCCTGTGTGGAAAGCTGCAATTTCCCCAAGAGCCACTCACCCAGTGCTGCTCACAGCTGGAATATTTATTTATCACCAAATTGCCCCCAGTGTGAAGGGCAGGGGAGACACTCCTCCCAGAGGAACAATAATTTCAGTGTTTTCCAAGCCTGTTTATCTTTCAAAATCCAKCCTGAATGGCTCCAACGTGATCCTGCTGAAAGCCACGGTAGCTTTGGCATTTGCTTTTGTTTCAGGAGGGACTGGAATCATCTTTGTMAGCCTCTGCAGGTCCCAAATTTTGGGATCAGAGGGAAAATCTCCCAGACTGCAAGCTCAAAGTCAACCAGATCTCACTGGGTATCGTGCTGGCCTAAAAATACTCAAGTGGACTGGAAACTTGATCTGCTCCTTCCAAGATCTTATTATGGCTCTCATCATACCCGAAGGATTGAGAGCATGAATGATTGAACTGGAAAATGATGGGCAGTGGCTGCTAATGAACCCCAGAGAAAAAAATCAGTTACATTTCTCAACAATTCTCTCTCAAGTCTGGAAGATATTGTGGGGTCATCTCACCTTAAAACATGTATTTTAAAACTAAATATGGCAAGTTTCACCCAACTGATCACTGCCAGTGGCATTCAGCAGTGCAGGAGGTCTGTGAGATCACCACAGCACTGGATAAGAGATAAAAATGCCTCTCAGGAAAAGTTTCCAGCTCTGCTGTGAGCACTGGCCTTAGAAAATCAAATTGCAAAATGATAAGGAACATTATCAAACGCCACCTGGACGGAAGGCTCGGACTATGGGCTCTCAGGAAGATCAGGCATCTCACAGGAACTAAAAAAGAGATTTTTGCCTCTTGGGGTGCTGGAGGAAGAGCACCTGCCAGCCCAAAACACTCTGCACAACTCCCAGCCAGCAGTGAAACCACAATTCCTCCTCAGGCCTGAGCAGCTGGTGAAAAAACCCTCATCATTACCACTGGGAGGATTTGGCCAATCTGAATTCTGACCACTCCTGAACCATTCACACTTCATGGAATAGTTGGGGTTGGAAGGAATCTCTAGAGATCACCCAGGCCAACCCCCCACTGTCACGGCAGTGTCATCTGGAGCAGGTGACACAGGAACACATCCAGAGAGGGAGACTCCACAACCTCCCTGGGCATTGCTCCAGTGCTCTGCCACACTCAGCATAAAGAAGTTCTTCCTCATGTTGAGGTGGAACTTTTTGTGTTTTACTTTATGGCCATCTTGTCCTGTCACTGGACATCACTAGAAGGAGTCTGGCACCATCCTGTAACACTCTCCTTGAAGATATTTACTTGGATTGATGAGATCCCCTCTCACTCTTCYCTTCTCCAGACTAAACAGGCCCCAACCCCAAAATCTCTCCTCAGACTTCTGGCAGTTCAAGCCCAAAGACATGGATAACATGAGAAAAAAWCAGCCAAGCTTCCTACCTGATGGGGATCATCCCAATCATGATGAGGGGGAAGATCATCTTCATGTAGGGCAGGGGGGACATCCCAAACCCACAGAGGATGAGGAGCTGCAGGACCTGCAGGCCCGTGAAATAGTGGATCTTCCTCTGGGGAACTCTGCGGATGTAATGGGTCGGAGGATACGCGGTCTGGGAAGAGAAGAACCACACGTTAGACACGCAGGAACACAGATTTGGGACAGCAGAATGTGGCTTTGGGACAGTGAGGTTTGAGGGAAGTCATCAATCTGTACAAGCAAGATAAAAAAACCACGTAAGACATGCAGGGACACAGATTTGGGACAGCAGAATGTGGTTTTGGGACAGCAGGGTTTGAGGGAAGTCATCATTCTGTACAAGCAAGAGAAGAACCACACGTTAGACATGCAGGGAGTTGGGTTTGTGACAGCAGAATGTGGCTTTGGGGCACCAGGGTTTGAGGGAAATCACCAATCTGTACAAGCAAGAGAAGAACAACACGTTAGACATGCAGGGACCCAGATTTGTGACAGCAGAATGTGGCTTTGGGGAACCAGGGTTTGAGAAAAATCATCAATCTGTACAAGCAAGAGAAGAACCACACGTTAGATACACAGGGATCCAGATTTGAGACAGCAGAATGTGGTTTTGGGACATCAGGGTTTGAGGGAAATCATTAATCTGTACAAGCAAGAGAAAAAACACATGTTAGACACACAGGGATGCAGATTTGGGACAGCAGAATGTGATTTTGGGACAGTGAGGTTTGAGGGAAATCATCAAACTGTACAAGCAAGAGAAAAACCACACATTAGAAATGCAGGGATTCAGATTTGGGACAGCAGAATGTGGCTTTGGGACAGCAGGGTTTGATGGAAGTCATCAATCTGTACAAGCAAAGAAAAAACACATGTAAGATATGCAGGGACCCAGGTTTGGGACAGCAGAATGTGGCTTTAGGACAGTGAGGTTTGAGGGAAGTCATTGATCTGTACAAGCAAAGAAAAACCACACTTTAGACACACAGGGACCAAGATTTGGGACAGCAGAATGTGGCTTTAGGACAGAAGGGTTTGAGGGAAATCATCAAACTGTACAAGCAAGAGAAGAACGACATGTTAGACACGGAGGGACTCAGATTTGGGACAGCAGAATGTGGCTTTGGGGAACCAGGGTTTGAGAGAAATCATCAATCTGTRTAATCATCCTCCTCTGTGATGGAGGAGATGGTTCCTCCACCCCAAAACCCAGCTCCTCATTATTTTGAAGTTTTCCAAAGCTCCAGGTTTGCCCCTGGTGCTCCCATCTCTTGGCTGAACCCCATTAGGGGAAGACCAACAGATGAGGGAGGTGCAGGAAGAGACTGTGCTCGGACTGCAGGGATTTTCTCAGCTCCTATAAGCTGCTCATTTTTGAGAAACAAGGAGGAAAAAAGTGACATTAATAGACTAAATATGGTGGTTTCTTCTGACAGTTCCTTGCTCATGTCTGAGCACAGGCTTTGACTCACTGTCTATACATCAATGAAGAGGATGAGCGACTGTCTGCTGGCACCAGCACAGCCTCAGTGGGTTTCAGATCRTGCCATGACTCATTAAAAGGTTTCCACAAAAGGGTGTTTTCCATATTTGAGAATACTTTTTAATTTTCCACGCCAAAGCCTGGAAAATTCCACACATAATTTGTACTAAAATCAGAAGTCATAAGGCACATACATCAGTAGCTGTTCAAACCTCACTCAAAAATTGACATGACAAATGTAATCTTCACCCAAATTTCATAGTTTGAACCTCGGGGGTGTAATATTAGAGATCGAGACAGTTTAGCAGAGATGCAGAGCCAAATGTGGGGCTTATTAAGCCCTTGACCCTTGTTACATAAGAGAAGGTGAGCTGAGATTGCTCCAGGTACCACCTACACTGCAAATTCACACCTTTTCAGCACCTGTAATACAGACAAGATTGAAAATTCATCTGCCAGGTTTGTTTTCAGCCCACATCAGAGAGGTTTCAATAAWGCAAGTAATCTCATTTTGAGTTTAAAATCCCACCTTGCGGTGTTYCACACAAAATGAAAGTGTAAAACGGAGCAGAAGAATTACCTGCCTGAAGCTTTGTTGGGGAAATCAAAGATCATCATTTCCTGATGTTGTGCTTTTTAATATTTTATGTGGGTTTTTTTATTAAATGTTTGTACTCTGCGGATGGCACGACATCATGAGGGGGGTTTAAAACTCACAAAAAAAAAAAAATCACACAAAAACAAAAAGAGAGCAAGTTTGAACAGACAAAAACACAACTCCAGGTACCTGTTCCTTGAGCAGCAGAGCCACCCTTTCAAAGAGCTGGTTGCCATCAATGGAGGTCAGGGCAATATAGAGGAAGAGGCCATAAAGGACTGGTTTTGGGATCCACTGGAGAGGAAAAGGCAGCAGCAGAAGCGAGAGCCCCACGAAGAAATTTGCTGCCAGACTCGTCAGCCGGGTCTCCTTCACACTCACGATCCTGGAAGTGGGAAAAGAGGGGTCAGGAGATGGGATAACACCCCAGGATTGGTGAGAGTTTATCCCAGGGCTGGCTGCTCCATGGAGGAGCAGGACACGTGTCCTGGGGAAGGGAAATTCGTCCCCATTGCTCTGAAATCAGCACTTCTGACACTGAAGGCACAGCCTTGCTGGAGCCAGGCCAGGCACTCAATCCACAGCTCCAACAGAGCAGCTGGAAAAGGGCCAAATTCCCTTTCTGCAAAGCTCCACGGATCCTATCCTGAGCTAAATTGCACTCAAAACCAATTCTGTTTAGCACAATGCAAAAACAAAAAAAGGGAAAAAAAAACCAAACTAAAACAAACCAGGCAAGAATCATCTTTCTGGGCAGTAATCCTTCCCTGGATTTACCAGGGCACATGCAATTGGCTCCTATCCCAAAAAAACTCATTGACTTCTCCAGGAACTAAGGAACCTCTTGAAAAAAAAAAAAGAAAAACAACAAACCAGAAAGTCTGCAGTCTCCTGCCAGAGAGTCAGCATTTTTGATGGATACGAGGATCTCCCTGTTTGCTGAGAGCACCACACAGGGATTCCATCCTGCTGTGGGCAATTGCCTATTACCATGCAAAACATGGCATTAATGAATGCAAATTTTCCAGAGCTGACAAGCCACAGATTGAGCTTTTCTGAGGGGAAGACTGACAGGAAAGCAGCAGCAGCTTGAGGAACCTACTGGAGGGGAGGCTGCTCTGTTTTCTTTTCACTTCAGCTGAAGCAGTGAGCATCTCCTCCCAGCTTGAAAAAAAATCACCAGAAACAATAGGAGGAAAGAAAACCCACATCTGTCAAGACTACTATCAAAAAGAGAAAAAGAGGATTCTTAACTTTTTTTTTTAGAAGATAAATCCAACAATTCAGTGGATAAGCCAGTGAATAAATCTCCCTATTATGAAGGAAAATTTTTGTCCATAGACTGTTTTGGTGTCATTTAGTGACCTCATTCYCTGGATTTGAGACCCCTCAAATTCTGAATTAACCCTGTACACAAACTTCTCTGAGGATTAACACAAAGATCTATCAAAACACACTACCCTCCAGGGATTTAATAACCCCTTCTGTCCCAAAGAAGATTGCTTCCCTGTGAACTATTTCGATATTAACTTTGAGAGTTCTGCTTAGAAGTAAGGTCAGGTTAGAACTTAAAATTTGTTTATACTTCCAAGGAGCAAAATGAAGCAGAGGGGATGAAAGAACCTTCCACACCTGTGTTTGGAGAGGGAGGGAAAGGGTGAGAGCCCAAAGCTTGTTCAGAGGATTTGCCTAACAAGGCAGAATTAACACCAGAGTCACAAGAGCTGAGGAACAACAGGTACCACAAACAGCACAGAATCCTGAGGACAACACTGGAATTCTTCTGTGAGGAGTGGGGCAGGTCCTGGTAACCTTCAAATGGATTTGAGCAGCAAAAACTGCAGCTTTCCTCCTCCCAAATGGATTTKGTTGGGATCCCTTTGCAAGTCTCCTGTGTCCAAGGGGTCCCTGCCAGAGCCTAGAGAAGCTGAGGGAGAGCAGAGCATTTCACTCTGTTAGAACTGGGAATCAACACCATGGATATCGTTTGGCACCAGGTCTGGATCACACAGAAATCTTGGAGATGAACACAGCCAAGCAGCTTCAAGTGCAACTGGAAGTGCTGTGCCASAGTAATTCCATAATCTGGCTGCTCCAGAGCTGCCAGAACCACGATGAGCCTCTGCAGTGGCTCAGAGAAGCAGAAATTTAGGGATGCATTGATTTAGCCTCATCCAGGTACAGCAAGAGCTCCTGCACCACCAGGGCAGGAAGAATTTCTGCCATTTCAGAATAAAAACCTTCCCAGAGGAAGAATTTCTGCCATTTCAGAATAAAAACCTTCCCAGAGGAAGAATTTCTGCCATTTCAGATAAAGACCTCACCTCCTGTGGGGGATGCTCCTGCCCTGTGAGCACCCACAAGTCTGCAAAGGAAGCAATGCAAATGAGATAGCTCAGGAACAAAAGCTGCAAACCCAGCAGATCAATCAGATGCAAATCTGTGATTTTGAGCTCAGAGTAGAAATCCTTTGGTGAGAAATTTCTGAAGTTCATGGGATTTTCTGCACCCATCTCTTAGGGATGCAGCAATCCCAGCACAGCATTTGATCACAGACAAGATGTACTGCAATTAYTGCCAGCTCCTGCTAATTCCACTTATGAGTTTGGAATATTTTATCAGAACATAGCTAAAATTGCTCATAATTGGCCAAACAYGGTGTTTTTAAAACTGATGTTCCCAAACTTAGATTGGTCTTCTGCTAATTCCAGCACCTTATTTCCAGGGTAAGAACATCACAGTCACATTAAATCAACAGAGGAATCCCTGATTTCCACATATTTGGAATCTGGTTTGGCCCTTGAGGAAACAGCTCCAGAAAATCTGGGCTGTGATGGAAATAAATTAATGGAGATTAAAGAGCATAATCCAGGCTCATTTCCCCCAAAATCCTCTAAATATGGCTAGCATGGGATTAGCCATTCCTGAACTTCTCCATTTGAGCAACAAGAGTCTGTTTGCAGACTGCCACAGGAAACTTAAATCGTTACTCTACAGGGGAGAAGAACATTTTGCTTTCACTGTGACAGATCTTTATCCTTGTTTATATCATCATCCTGTGAGAGCTTTGATTTGAGTGCAGGGAAGGAGCCTGCCAAGGGAGACAGAGCTGATTTTCTAATTGAGCTTCACTTCTTTTACAGCAGAGCTGGCTAAGAGGAGGGAAAAAAAAATAAAAAGGACAAAAAGGATGACTACATTGCTTGGAGCCTCCTGTTACAGCCCTGATGCTTTGCAGAGAACAAAAAGCTTTRGTCTCAAAGGGAGTTCAAAGCACTGGGAAACCCTCATTGCCTTTTTCACTCCCAATATCCAGTTCCCAGCACCGATTTGCCTCCAGCAGGGAAGAGCTGTGCCATGAGGGAACCCACTCAGGGACATCAGGGCATCCCTCAGCCCTTCCAGGATAATCACTGGAGCTGGATCTAGGTCAGAGGGGCCAAAAAGGCCTCTCTGATGGTTTTTTTTGGGCAGCTGGGTAAAGGAGGAGAGGACTAGAGCAGGAATTAGTCTTTAGTTCAGGCAGGGGACTTGACTTTGTCAAGGAGAAGCCACAATTCAGAATCATGACAGTGGAAAAACAGGGAAAAGAGGCACTGGATATTAAAACTGACAACAGGAGACACAGGAGGGAGGCTTGGCACACAGGTTTCAAAGGGTGAATTCTGCATTTCTCAAAGAAACAGAGAGTGGAGGTATCCCAGAGCAGATCATGGAAATGAGGAACAAGGGCAGGGATTAAAACCCTACTGAAGTCACATTTCAAAGTTAATTTTAAAAAAAAAAATATTTATCATTTATTCAAGAGAGATATAGGTATGGAAACAACTGATAGCAAAAAAAAAAATATTTATCATTTATTCAAGAGAGATATAGGTATGGAAACAACTGATAGCAACATATCCTAATGGGAATATACACCCAAGGGACTGATCTCTCAAGAAAAGATCTGTAAAAGAGTTACAGGGAGCAGCAGGACTCAGCAWTTTCCAGATGTGAAAGATGAAATCTGTCCATCCCTGACCCAAAAAATCAGCTGTGCCTGGTTGGGCTGGGCCATTTGGCACCAAAACAAGCATGAAGGCAAGATTGAAATGAAGACAGACTCGCTCCATCCCCCAAAGTCAATGACCACTTAGCCTCACTTTTGGTAAGTGGCAATGCAGAAAATGGAAACCAAGGCAGGATAATTAAAACTAATGGTATGGGAGTGGAAATTACCCCTTCTGTGGTTAAAGCACTCAACTGYAACATATTGAGATCAAACAGATCTGCTCCAGAGTAGAAATCGTTTGATGAGAAAAAGGTCTTTAATTTTTTTAGTACGTCTCTGATAAGAATGCATTTCTCAACTCGGAACAACAGAAGGGTTGGTCTTAAATAGAACCCCATGACCCAGCCATGGCTTCACATTGTTTTTGTTAAAACCCAAGGAATTTAAGCATCTCCTTCCCAAAAYGTAGTGGGAGATGTTATGGGAGCTCTGAAATAATGGTGCATTTTTCCTCCCCTCSGTAATAACCACCAGACAGGTTTCAGGCAGTGAATCAGCTTGGATTCCTGCTGGGGAAGGGCATCCGGAGAGATCCGGCCAAAGCATCTCCTCAGCTTTCCACCAGGATGAAACTGAAAATGGCCTTGGCTGACTTTTCCAGAGGAGGATTTGCAGTGGAGGGGGTGGGAGCAGGGATTTGTGTCCATCCTACAATGAAGGGAATGAAGCCAAGCCAAGGCTCGTTGGGTGCATTTCCCAACACCCACCTCCCCAGCCACACAACCCACTGTTCCCAAAGGACTGGGATATCCCAAAATGAACCCAGAGAGATCTACTCACGTCTCATAGATGTGTCCACTCTCCACCCTCTCCTCCACATAGGCCAGGGCACGGACGTGCATGGGRGAGTGCGGGAAGGCGGCGTGGATCCAGGGCAGCCCAAAGACYGACAGCCCCGTGTTGATCAGCGCCACCAGCAGCAGGTCCCAGTGATAGGCTGTGCCCTTCACCAGCCTGCAATGAAGGGTTGGGGACAACAGTCAGACCTGTGTGTAAACCCCACGGGCTGAACACTCAATGCTCTCACCCACAGGGAGTGATTTCACACCGTCGGATTTACCCTCGGCACGGTGTGAAGGCTGAAAGCAGTGAAATGTCTTTTGGTTATTTGAACCCAAAGCTGTCGTCATCTGCAAAGAACAACTCTGAGAAAAAGGCAGCCCGCTAAAATATCAGCCAATGAAAATCTCATCAGTGCTTTTCTCCTACATTTAGTGCAGGGTCTACACAAACCCCACATGTGTGCGTTTGCTCATGGAGTCCACATAGGGAGTGGTTAAAATCTTGAGTGTTTCCTGTCCAAGTATTGACACTGAAGTTTCCCATCTGCCTTGTTTGTAACCCTGATTTCTCTCATTCCCCACGAGCAGCACACATGCTCGGTATGCTGCAGTAATCCCCTAATTATGTAATTGCTACTGGATGATAAGAAAATGGGACAGGAATTCATTAAACTTCAGCTCYTCCTTGGCACTCACAGAATCATGGAATGGATCACAGAATGGGATGGGTTGGAAGAACTTTGGAGATCATCCAGCTCCAACCCCCTGCCATGGGCAGGGACACCTTTGACCAGCCCAGGTGGCTCTGAGACCTGTCCAACCTGGCCTTGGACACTTCCAGGGACAGAAAGCAACAGCTTCTTTGGGCAACACCTCCAAAAGATCAATAGTCAACCAAGATTTGCTCATCAGATGCTGCAGAGCCTCCCTGTTTCATTTTTTAGGGGATGGGGTATCTGGCAGCCTTCACTGAGGAAGCTGAGCACACCCACTCTGCCAGGATTGTGCAGAAAGCAGCACTAACACTGAACTCACATTTACTTTAACCCTGTCTTTTCTGGCAAGTCTGTCCCTTTCCTGAACATTCCCATCTTGTTCAAGGTGCTGAGATATTGTGAGTCAAGTTCAGAAAAAAGGGCTGGGCAAGGATTCAGAACCCAGACTTTAAACCCTCACCCAGAGGCCCTCAGGCTGTATTTCTGCCACTGGAGTGCCTGACATGCTCATACAATGTGAGGGATCAGCTGAATTCTCTCTGGGCACCATCAGCTGGAAAAGGGAACACATTTATGTGTGTCAATGCCACCCTTAATGACAGGGAAAGGGGGAATGGACTCAAACTGACAGAGAGTAGGTTTAGATCAGATTTTAAAAAATAATTCATCCCAGTGAAGATGGGGAGGCCCTGGCACAGAGCGCCCAGAGAAGCTGTGGCTGCCCCTGGATCCCTGGAAGTGTCCAAGACGAGGTTGGATGGGGCTTGGAGAACCCTGGGATAATGGAAAATGTCTGTGATGGCACTACAACCAGATAGTGTCAAGTCCAAGTTTTTACTCTATAAAACCAGAATTTTTACTCTCTAAAAATCCCAGCCCCAATACCCCATCMGCATCAGCTCAGCCCTGTACCGAGGCATTCTGAAAAACACTCTGAAAAACTCCAAAGAATATTTTGCACTCCTTAAAGACCTTCCAGTGGAAAATACCRAAAGTTTAGAAGAAATTCTTATTAGCCCAGAGATGACCCACTTACATACAGATTTATGCAACACTTAAAGGGATATAATAGAGATAAGARGTGGTCAAAGGAAACTAAATTAGTGTAGCTGAATTTCAGCTTGTYTCCTCTCTCCTAATACTGTGTCACTCCAGCTACAACATGGAGAATRCTAATGGATATTATGCAAGGAGAGAACCCTCCCACGCACCACATTAGCAAAAAATCCTCGGAGACATGGTAGTTTCCCTGGAAAAAAAGTCATCCACGTTCGTTCTTGACATCGCATCTGACTGCAGTTGGCACGAAAACATCAGAGGGAATATTTTAATAGTGCRGCATCTCAAGTTTGCACATAAAAATGAGACTGATCAGACGTGAGACATATTGGTTTATTGCACTTCCACCTTTTTCTGTTGGAAATACCAGCTCCAAACACTCCTGATACTCAGCWGCAGCACGCTGTGCTACAACATTTATGTAGGTCATTGACTCCTCATTCCCAACAAATTCTCTATGCTGCAGGAGCAGAGCAAGTGTCCACATGTGTCAGACACTCCCTAAATATCTTGAGGTGCACYCAAGGACCTCAAACCTTAAAAAGTATCTACTTAACATTCACTAGGCTGCCTCTTGGCTCCTAAAAATCTTCCTGAAAAATGCCTGGAGAATTTTAGGGGACAAAACATGGTGATGAGCAGAGGGTAAAGAAGAAACAGGTTGAGGTGATGAGCTCATTGAGGATTTGTTTTGGGGGATGGTTTGAGGGTTTTGGGGATGGTTTTGAGGAGTTAAGCAGCAGAGAGACTTCCACCTGTGACAATAGGAACTCTTAAGAACTCTTAAAAACACATCCTGAATACATTTTCTGATKCTCAGGCAAGCTTTGGGCAAGCAGTGCTGGTGACAGACTCAGAGCCATCCCACAYAGAGGGAAGAGCAGCCCCAAAGGCGTTACCTGTTCTCCGGGGCGTTGGTGAGGGACGCCACGATGTTCTGCTCGATGAAGAAGAGCATGGACAGGAGRAATCCCAGTCCCATGGCACTCATCACCGACCCAATGGACAGGGACTGCACAGGGGCCAGCACAAACAGGCTGTCAGAGGCGTTGTAGTTAAATTTGGACACTGCAGAGAGGAGGGGAAGGATGTTAGGAGGCATCTCCTCGCCCAACCATCAACTTTTTACCCACGCCACGAATCACCAAGCAGGAAAGCAGGCGTGATGCTCCATGTAAGATGGGTCCATCTGGCTGGTTTGGTTTATTTTTTCTSTCCATCCACTTAGGACTTGGCTGCCATCCTGACTGGACAGATCCCTGCTAGTCCTAACGAGGCTTTACAGATATTTGAGCAAAACAAAAGAGGGAAACTTGTTTTCCACAGATGCAAGGTGTTTTTAGATRAGGAAACCTTATTTCTAACCAGCTCATCAACCCACAGAGGCATTTGAAAACTTCCTCATGTCCAACAAACTATGCAAGGCATTTTAGAATAAAATCCAAATCAAAACTTTGCTGCCATTGGAAGCAATCCTAGGGATAAATCATGCATGGCCACACATCATTTTGCAATCCAACTGGRTGGAATGGCCATCACAATTTGAAAAAAAAAACAACAAAAAAGTCATTTCTTATTTGTTTCCATACATTTCCTCACATCACCCGCTCACGTCACTGCAGGACAATGCAATTCCTGTCCCCATTATCGCTTCCTGATATGGAAAAGTTGATCTATCTGGCCAATGAATGGTGCCTCATTTTTAGATTTCCTTGTGTAACTTAGAGCTGCCCAGATGCTCTGCACTGTTTCACCTAAATTAGGAAAACAAACTGGAGACAAAGAGGACAACCTGGGATGACCAACTCCATGTTGATGTGACTGGCAACAACCCTTCCTGCCTGATGATTACTCTGCCCTTTGTTCTTTGCCAGAAATTATTCATCTCCCTTATTGTGACACACACCTCAAACTCATTGAAAAGACACATCTGGATAATTCTCTTGCCTCAGCCTCATTTGATCAGTGTTTTGAATGAAATAAATCTAACAGTAAGGAAATGTGAGCTCTCGGTGGGAGGTACATGCAGTATTTGTGAAATTATATGGAAGAACTTTATTTTTCAGCAAAACCTTTCTAGGATTTTACTTCTCTTGATCATAAACCCCAGTATTCCAGAGAACAAAACCAGAACTTACTTTCAATTTCCTTGAAGATAAAAGAACCCACAACAGAGAAGGTCAGGACTGAAATGGGTAAGGCACAGTCGGACAGAATTTCACGTACCCTCGCGTGCAAATATGGACTGCAAAAAACCAAAAAAAAAAATCCCATCAACACCCCACAGTCAGGATAAACAATTTATACAATGTTAATGCCTTAAAAGTGAAAATTCAGCAATTCTAAGGTAGTACTTGGAGTGAAGAATTAGTCTTTCATTCAGCCTTCAATCTTCTGGAACCTACAGCCTTTGAAGGTTGATGAATGCATAWGCAGAACACAAAGAAACAAGAAAACAAGATGCAAGCTGTAAAAAAAAAAGAAAGGCCTTCAAGCACCAATTTGTGTCTCGTTTCCACTTCACCTTAATTGCTTCCTGCATTTCAAATGAAGAGTTTTTGGAGCAATAAGAGCAAAACCCAAATTAGAGGTGGTGTTTGACTCCCAGGAGCACATCGAAGGTGCATTCCCAGTAGATTTTCCTGCACCATCAGGAATTTTTGCCCAGCAAAATGGATCAACACCTGTTTGGAGGGACTTACAGGGATTGGGAACCCGACTTTTTAGGAAGTCATTTGTGAGGCCAAACCAAAGATRGGAGGGCATCATCCACTGACCGAGCATTTTATTCTGCTGAGAAGATTTTCCAGGTGGCCCTGCCAAGTTCACCTCCAGCTTTGGTTCCCTGGTTGCAGAATTCAGATTTAAGCAGGGAATAACTCCCTCAGAGGTACCACAAAAAAAAAAACAAAAAAAAACCAGCAGTCTGAGCTGTGAATAACCCACCTTTTCTTAAACTGATAGAGCGTGTGGCCGAGCCAGAGGGTCCCCAACATCAGCATGAGGCTGAGGACAGCAGTCTCGTGCCCGTAGTGCCCATCATGGGTGCATGTCTGGTTGCTCACTGTTGAGTTCACCAAGAAGCTGCTGTTGATGCYGAGCTCTGGGAGAGCATCAGCCCGTGCTTTTCCTGAGTAACTGCCTCCTGTGCGCCCGTGGTGGTAATATTTCTTAAAAACTGCACAAACAACCAACACGTAAGCGTTAGGAGAGGGCTGTGGTACCAAATGAAGTAAAATAAAGTGGGTTTCTTGCTTGATCATGCAGTAGGAACGTTATGCTTCAGCAGGTTTATAGCTCTGCCTCTCAACACAGCAAAAAGAAATCAGAGCTGCTGCTCTTATGAAGCCAGCGCTTCACAAATTGATTTTTTTCACTTATTTTAAGAGATAAGAGTTAAATTAATCTATAAAGCAACACTGGAAGGACTTCCAGTGCTAATTATGTGGTTTGGTTCCCAACACTGGAAGCACTGCTCTTAGAYACACATATAAATATTTCTATGGAGACACCTGCTTTCAGCAGCCTGGCCAACAAATTCCATCAGGATTTTCTGAAAACRCTAAGAGCAGCCAGGCTGCACAGATCCTTAAGTGGATTACACAGGGTACAGTAATTACTTTTCTTCCAAGACTAGTCCAGATTTTAAATGTTAGTGTTGATGACGGGMAAAAACCTGGCAAAACATTTAAATTTACAATGCAAATCAGGATTACAGAGTACCTGAAGTAAACCTGAACAAGGGAAAACACCCAGCAAAGCCCCTGGAATGGTCAATAAATGTTTTAGACCCATTTCTATGTCACTGGCTGGCTCCAAGTGTATAAATGCAGTTTTGGGATCATTTAACCTCTTTGGGGAACAACAGCCTGAGGAATCACAAGGAGCAAGTAAAACCAGGAGATGGGAATTGGGTTTTGCAGCCTCAGTGTTCCCACAGAATCTGTTCAGATGGCAACAAGCAGCATCCACACTTCCCTGGCCCCATGGAAAACACAGGAGGATGGAAACCACCACGCCAGAGCTTTGCAGTCCCTCTGTTTTCCTTTATTTTAATCAAAATCCCCCTTTCAGACTATGCATAGAGAACTTCAGGGCAAGACAATCCTATCTAAGCAAAAACACCACCACCACCCAAAGCTTAGGCTAAAAAGCACCTCCTAACATTTCCCTCATCCCCAAATAATCATAAAGGTCCTGAAAGCCCCAAACACTTCAGCTTTTCCTTCTGCAGCAGCCACAGGGAAAGCAGGGACTATGAACTTCAATTCTAAACATTTTAAAACAAATTTTGAAYATTGTTGTGCAACCACCTTGAGTCCAGCTGAAGCCCAGGCTGTGTTACTGCTGGYTTGGAACTCACCCCAGTGCAAAATGCCTCATGTTCAGCCATGAAATAATTTTAAATGCAGTCATGACCTTTCTTGTACCATCTTTATAGTTTAAAGGAGTTTGCCTATTCCACAAGTGGATGGCAGACAGGCCACAAGAGACAAGACTGCCTCACATTCAGTGCATCTGTACATAAATTTAAACATCACAGAAGGTTTACAGTTTAAAATTCAGCCTCTCAATTTGCAGCCAGAAGTGAGGAGATCACCTCAAAGCACCAGAAAGGTTCCCCCAGTGAGGAGMAATCCCATCCTGATCTCTTCAGAGCTGCACACTCCTCATCGTGTGCTGTGGAAGAGGCTCTGCTATTTTTTATTTCCTCCATCCTCCATCTGCCTCAGCCTGGCAGGACCTGGCTCTGCAAACAGGTAAATGGAGCCCAGAGCACTGCCAGGACCCACAGCCTGCAACAGAATGTGGGAGGATTTGCACTTTCCTGCTCTGAACGCCAAAGGATGCTTTTGTYCCACCAAAAACCATTCTGGCAGCATTTCCTGGGAATTCACATCTGGCCAAGGGGAAAGCCTGCTCACCCCAAAGTGCTGCGGAGCCCTAGAGACACATCTGAGAAACCAGCAGCACACAGAGCCCAGGAACTTTGCAGAACATCCCACATTTCTCTGGATTAAGATTTGGACTGGAACGAGTAAGAAAAAAGTGACTTTGTTTTGGGTCTTGTAGATTTTCTCAAGCTCCCACATGTACCTATATTGCAATAATGTATTTAGGGCTGGGCTATATTGCAATCATATATTTAGGGCTGATCTTTGGTGCCCTTTGTTTAGCTTGACTACATCGCTGCAGCTCCATCTCTGAGGCTGCAATTCAATTTATATGCACCAACACAGGGAAGATTGCTCCAGTCCCTCCTGGATAGAGGAAAAAACTTTGCTTTACTCTTTTATTTTAATTAAAGCAATGAGAACACGCCAAGATGGGTAGGGGAGGCCTTCATTCCACACCACCTTGCTGGGAAGGATTTATTCCTGAACATTTACAATTTGTTTTCACACCAGAGCTCAGTGAACCTCGCTGCCAACATTCAGAGAGAGCAGCAGARCCAGGGGTGCCCTGGCTGAAGCTGAGCCCTTCTCCATCCTCCAACAACACAAGCTGGCTGTGTTTTCCTCTGCCTGCTCACCACCATTTCCTGCCCAGTGCAGATGTCAAGATCAAACAAACACAGCCTCGGTGGCCGGGCCAAGCAGAGAAAACAAATTGTCACCAGGACGGCAGCAAACACTCCTGGCTTTGGTTCCTCTGCAGGGCAGGTCCCTCCCCCTCCTTTCCTGCGTGTGTACCTTGCAAAAAATCTATGAACAGGCTGGGAAAACATCTGGGCAGAGGTGGCATTGTCCCCTGGCACGCAGGAAGCCCAGAGTTGCCGTCAGCTGGAGAGGCATTACCAGGACACTTTTGAACAGCATGGAGAAAATACCAGCTTTCACTTCCTRCTGAACTGCTCAAGCGAAATTCTGAGTGGGAGGAGGTGGTGGCAGCAGCAAAGCATCACCTCCTCAAAAACAGAGGGAAGAAAGAAGGATGAGCCTGCAGCCATGAGCTGCACTGGTGTCRTGTTTTTAAATATTGGCTCTAAAAGGGTGAAGGATAAAGTCTGTGCCTGGCAGCAGCAGTGACCTCCTGCACCTGGAAAAAGCTTTGGTCCATCTGTGGATGCCCTGAGCACTCTCAGATGCAGCTGAAGCCAACATGGGCTGGCAAATGAGTGTTGGTTTAACTTTATTACCATCATTCCTATAAATTCATCCCCTCACATGCACAAAGAGAATTCAACGGGCTCACTGATTACCATAAAATCATGGAATGGTTTGGGTTGGAAGGAACCTTGAGGATCATCCCATTCCATCCCCTGTCATGGGGTCCAGGGGCAGCCACAGCTTTTCTGGGCACCCTGTGCCAGGGCCTCCCCACCCCCCCCCAGGGAAGAATTTCTCCCCAATATCCAACCTAAACCTGTTTTTTGTCACTAAGGTCATTGCTCCTTGTCTTACAAGATCTTCTCCTGTCCCACTGCAGTACTCTGAGGATTTAYTGGCACRTTCCTGAAAGTCTGGCAGACAAGACCAGTGGATGCTTCCTGAACTTTTACCTGCACCCCATATCCCTACTATGGAAAATCAGCTCTGTGCTCCAGAAAATTTGTGGATATTTGCTAATTTTCACAGAGCWGCTGAATGTTCTGTTGAGGATCACCTGGAGACCATCCCATGGCTCCAGAGCTGGGCACTGGCAGCACACACTGAGCAAAGYTCGCAGCCACAAACTCAACAACCATCCCAGAACAGCTTCTCCCTCACCAAGCTCTGTCTAAGCAGGATATTTAAAAGATGCAGGTGCTCTGCAGAGGAAAAAATCCCTCTGATTGCACAATCAAAGCACACCAGCCAAAGTAAGGATTCCCAGTGAAGCGAGAAAGTATCTCACTTCAAACTGCTCTGCAGCATCAAATCTCTTGGAAAGCACTCCCTTGCAAGCAGAGTGTCTTAAAAACAAGGAGAGTGATTAGATATTCCTGAAGGATTTCAAAGGATGGCCCAAACTTTGGGATCTTGGACAATCATAAAAATCAAGGAATGGGGTATTGTCCAGCTCCTCACTGGGATGAAATGAACAGAAGAGCTTCCATTTACAAGATATTTCTGTTACCACGATTCACTTCTCAAACACCTCCTGCCAATCCTGGTGGGGAGGGAGAGAAGGCTCAGAGGAATTTGTAAACCCCAAGGATCCTCATGAAGGCTTAAAATTTAAACCAGAATTGAGAACCAAGTGGCTGGGAAGAGCAGAGCAGCTTTAGGAACGTGCTGAAGGCACTGCAGTCCTTGTGCTGCTACTAAAGAAGGGTCTCAAAACTCAGGTAAAAACCACAAAATCTCAACCCATCTTTCAATTCCTCTCCACAGAATTTGGAAAATGTGTCAAGGAATAAGGACTATACACACTGCATTTAAATTA